GCTCGGGGACACTGTTTCAAGCCATACAAAGACTTCTTCAAATAACACTCTCCCATACTCCCCCTGAGCAACAAAACCAGGTGGTTGCTCCATATATATACTTCCTCTTGAAGATCACCATGAAGGAATGCATTTTTTATATCCAACTGATGTAAAGGCCAATTCACAGAAGCAGCTAAAGAAATGAACAAGCAGACGAAAGTAAGTTAGGCAACTAGAGAGAAAGTGTCTGAATAATCTACTCCATAAGTTTGAGCATACCATTTAGCCACAAGCCTGGCCCTAAGTCCTGCCACAGAACCATCTGGATTAACTTTAGCTGTGAACACCCACTTACATCCCACTGGTTTCTTCGTGCTAGGTAAATCCACCAAATCCCAAGTGTGATTTTCCTCTAAGGCATGTATTTCCTCAAGCATCGCATCATACCATCCAGGATGGTTCAAAGCTTCCTTCACTGTTTTGGGTATAGAGATGGAGTCTAAAGAAGCAACTAAGGATCTTGACATAGAGGATAAGCGGTCATAGGAAACAAAATTAACAATGGGATATGTGGATTGACAAGTCCTTTTACCTTTGCGAAGAGCAATAGGGAGATCCAAATTCTCTGAAGGATCGGGTGAAGAAAGATTTGATAACAGAGGAACTGGTGCAAAACATTTATCATTGATCTCTCGTCTCCTCGAATAAACTTGAACAATTGGTGGTCTTGCTGGAGCAGAAGTTGTAGGCCCAATAGTCAATTGGTGTTCAACAGGGAAACTAGGAGATTGAAGAACATTATTTGATTGTTCTGTCACAACCCAAGTAACCTGATAGACTAACCACTCATCTTCCTCTTGAGTTGTAGAAATGGGAGGTGCATAGAAGAATGGGTAGTCTCTGAAAATACCACATCACTTGACACCAAGTATTTACCAAGCTCAGTAGAATAACATCGATACCCCTTTTGAAGGGGTGAATAACCCAAGAAAACACACTTTAATGCCTTAGGATCCAACTTGGTAACAGATGGCCGAACATCTCGAACATAACACGTGCTTCCAAATACCTTAGGCTCCATCAAAAATAGTGACTTGTTTGGAAAAAGAACATTGTAAAGCTTATTACCAACAAGAACAGTCGATGGCATGCGGTTAATCAAAAAATAAGTTGAAGAGACTGCATCAGCCCAAATTTGTTTAGGAACCTTCATTTGGAACAAAAGTGCTCGAGCTGTCTCAAGTAGATGCCTATTCTTTCTCTCAGCAACTCCATTTTGAGAGGGTGTATCAACACATGAAGTTTGATGGAGAATACCATGTTGTCTCATGTAGGACTGAAACGATTCTGACATATATTCTTTAGCATTATCACTCCTTAGAATATGCACTGAAGTATTGAACTGAGTTTTGACTTCAGCACAAAAGTGAGTAAACACTTCAGAACGGCACATCATAAAGTAAATCCAAGTCATTCGAGAGAAATCATCCACAAATGTGACAAAATACTTATGTCCAGATTTGGAAACAACGGGACATGGTCCCCAAACATCAGAATGAACTAACTCAAAAATCGACTCCACCCGCTTATTAACCCTTGGATTTGTTGAGCTACGATGGTGTTTGGCAAATTGACATGACTCGCAATCTAGTGAAGGAATATTCTAAAACTGAGGACAGAGCTTCTTCAACATAGGCAAAGAAGGATGTCCTAATCGACAATGTGCCTCAAATGGAGACCTGGCACAAGAGTAGGCAGCAAATCAAGGCTCCCAATATTCATCAAGAATGTAGAGACTATCAGATACATGTCCTTTACCAATAACTTTATTTGTCTTCAGATCACGAAACAAACAATGATCGGGAAAGAATGAGATATAACAACTTAGGTCTCCGGTAAGCTTACTAACAGACATCAAATTAAAGGCTAACTTTGGTAGACCCAATACAGATGACAAGGTAATGGAAGAAGTTGGTTTTACAGTCCCAGATCCTATAATATTACAGATTGAACCATCAGCAACCGTCACAGGAGAGAGTGCTACGTGTGATCGAAAGCTAGAATATATGTTAGGATTACCATGTGATCTGTGGCACCTGAATCGATCACCCATCTTTGAAGAGGATATAAGACATGCTTTTCATGATTCAACAAGGGTAGTAACTGAAATAGATTCTTTTTGTAATTTTTGATATTGTGAGAATTTTGCAAACTCTTCCGCCAAAACCAAAATTCTTTTATCCGAAGACATAGGAGCCACAATTTCAGTCATTCTCTCCAAATATTTTAGCAACACAAGAACTCATCAACAAAAAATATAACCAGAAGCATGTACGTGACCCCACAAACACAGATGAACAAAGTCTAAAAATGATTTTATCAACTAAGAAACCAATTGTCCACCCAAAATAAAGGAACTGAGTACTTTACCAGTAGACAAGAGCACGTAGTGAACAATCAAATACCCAAGCAAGTAGTTCAGAGAAAGAAATCCTGAACCGCAACTTATGATCAAACAACACCAATTATCTGAACTGAAGTAGACGCTAGCAGCCACAGAACCACAAATCACAAACAAGATTCAGTGTCGCATATAGAAACGAACCTGGAAGTGACGAACAAACTTTCCAGATTGTATTTTAACACCAGAACAAACCTGAGAAGTGACGAACAGACTTTCCAGATCGTATTTTAACACCAGAACAGACCTGATATTCGCCAGAAATACGTTTCCAGATTGTATTTTAACACCAGAAGAGACCTGAGAATCGCCAAAAATACGTACCGATGCCGAAAATTTAAAACTCAATCAATTCAGCCAGACACGCACCTTCACGTGCCGGTGCGTGATGAACAAAAGAACTGTATGAGCGGTGTGTGACAACCACTCGCTTCACAACCAGATGCCGATGAAGACTGGTTTGGCTAGAAAATATACTCCACCTCCTACTGTGGGGGTGTGGTGGTGATAGTAGACTGAACACTTTAAATCAGTGGAATAGAAATCCAAACTTATTCCATAACACAGCCAAAACGAAACGAGCCTATAAGCTCTGATACCATGTAATTGAATGGAAGATCTTATCTTATTCCAGTAGGTGAGCAGTGAATAAGTACAATACATAAGGTGCTAACTAAAGAAAGAAATAAAGAGTGATTCCTATAGATCTGCAGTGATCCCTATAAATCTGCTGCCTATATATAGCTATGTATATTACTAAGATTAAGTCTATATACATTCTATAACACTACAAATGCAACTCACATGCCATGACATTTAGGTAGCAATAAAAGCTTCTCATTAGGGTTAAATGGGAAGTTTAAATTAAATTGTGTCCAAATTTAGAAAGGAGAGATTCTTTCTTGAACGGACTAAAAAGGAAATAGGGTCACATAAACTTGTGCAGAGGAAGTATATATCTGGGGCTAAAGCTAGAATTTTTTCTGGAATTGCTTGTATTCACAAAAAATTTTGGAAACTACATCGCACAGGATGGTGGGCACACCCTCAAAAAGACATACAGAATTACAACTTTCCTCTAAAATCGACCATCTCTATGCTTTCCCCTACCAACTCTTGCTTACGCCAAAAAAATTAAAGACTTGAGCATTTCATTTTTATCTTCTAAAAACAATCATTTTGTCCTTCAAAACACCTAGCATCCCTTTCTTTCCATAGAGTCCACCATATACAGGCAGTCTTCCACCAATTTTCACTTCTCCCTCTATTGCCAATTCTTATCCAGCTATAAAGGAGCTCCATGGTTGTCTTTGGCATCACCCAGCTAACCCCTAGTATACACAAACATATTCCACAATTTTGAAGCTGCTTTACAGTGAATGAACACATGATTATTTACTTCTGCTTTCTGCTCACACATAAAGCATCTTGAGCAAAACTGCATCCCCTTTTTTGTAATGCCTCATGGGTAAGGCAAGCTTTTCTTATGACCAACTAGACAAAACATGCTACTTTTAATGGGCTTCTCGTCTTCCACACTAGCTTCCAAGGCCACTTTTTAGTCACTGACTGATTAACATTTATCCTCCAGTAGCAAGATTTAACTGTGAACATTCCTTTGCTATGTAGCTTCCAAATTGGTTTATCCTTTCTTTGAGATATGGCTAGTGGGGTGTTAAGCACCTCTAGTAGCCTGGCTACATCCTCAATTTCCCAGTCGTTCAAAGCCCTCCTGAACACTAAGTTCCACCCTTGTTGGCTCCATACTTGAGCAACAGTAGCAGATCTTTGTAAGCTCAAGGTGTAGAGATTTGGGAATAAGTTCCTCAGGCTATCATCCCCTTTCCAGATTTCATTCCAGAAATCTGTTTTCAGACCATTGCCCACACTAATATAAATATTGTTATTGAACTCTGGCCACATCCTTCTGATGGTCTTCCACACAAAGCATCCAAACGACCCCATCACCTCCTCAGTAGTCCATTGGCAAAAAAGGTCATATGTCAAATAGCACAAACTTCTTCCTGTAGGCAAGCAATTCTTGTGCTTTTACCAATAATGAAACCATATTTATGAAGCAACCGCATCGAAAGCAGCCTTCTGCAGTAATCCAATACATTACATGTCTTCTGTTTAAACTTTACAATTGGTTTCTGTTTTTCTTTTTTATCAGTAAATTTTACACCTTGATTTCTACTTTGGGCCATCTCATGAAGCTTCTGCTGAAGTTCTATTACTCCTACAATTTATTCGTCCTAAAGTTATTGGCCAAATCTTCCTTCACCAGTTATATCATAAGAGTAAATGGAGAAGCACAGATGTGCCCAGCAGACAAACTGACAAAGCACAAAGATTGGAGCAGCTAAAATGATAACTCCAAAAGTTAGTCTAGCATTTATAACTTCCAATAAATTAGCAAGCAGCCTCTAACAAGAACTAACAGAATAGAGAATGACTAAGAATTTTCTAGACAAAGATACAAGGGAAATGGAGAAGCAATTTAAATTAGTTAGGAAGGCATTGATATAAAATGGTTCATCAATTCACCATGACGCACCAATACATCTACAGCAAGTTTCAGGCTCAGAAGCAAGGATCTCCTTCTGGTCCGGCAATATCATTCAATAGAACATCTGGGAAGATGTTTGACCCAACATAATACCTATATAATGAGTAATACTTATCAAACAACAGAAAATTATAAGTAACTTCTCGGTAAAATGAAATATATACAGTACCAGAACATGCTATCATTGTTGGAGAGACTCAAAGTAACCAAATAAGAGTATCAAAGATTCATTTCTACTGCTACCAAGTTATTGCAGAATATTGATCATCTATATTTTGAATGCTTATACCAAAACTTGCATAATGTGTTATTCCCTCTGTCCCATTTTATGTGGCACCCTTTTCCTTTTTAGTCCGTCTCAAAAAGAATGTCACCTTACTATAATTAGAAACAATTTAACTTTAAAATTCTCTTTTTAACCTTAATGAAATGATTTACAACCACACAAATATCTGAGGATTGTTTTAGACCACAAATTTAAAAAGTCTTCCTTTTTTCTTAAATACTGTGCCAAGTCAAATGATGCCACATAAAATGGATCTAAGGGAAATATTATTTTTGATAAAGAAATAAATTTATTAAATAATTGTTAGAGAGACTTAAAAGTAACCAAATAAAAGTGTCAAGGATTCATTTTCTGCTGCTGCCAAATTATTGCAGAATCATTGATCACCTATATATTTTTTTGAAACTAACCATTGATCACCTATATTTTGAATGCTTATACCAAAGCTCGTATAATGTGCTGTTCTAGGGTTTCTCTATCAGATGATTAGGGAAGGATTTACCTTGATGTATGTGGTATCATCTGACACCACCTCATCAGGAAATCTTACTAAATTATATATTAATAATATGCAAAATAAAAAAGAGCGTAAATAAAGACAGAAATGACACCATTTGTCACAAGTTGCATCTTGGTTCTCTGGTTAGGCAGATGAAATTTCTGACAGACGGCAGTAGTTCAAACCTCGATAGCTTGCTTTTTGTTTTAAAATTTTTGAGCAATACTAGTCCTTACTAATTAAAAGTTAATATGTCAAGTCGGATTGATCCAATGACCTCCTTCCTTGTAAGGACAAACTAAACCACATTCACTATTGAAGACCTACATTATTTTTCTTTGTGAGTTGAACTTTATGTTTAAATTTTTAATTCAGTTAAATTTCAATGACGAGATCATTTCCTAAAGCACCTTCTGACCCTTCTAAACCAAGTTCAACATCTCAAAGCTCATCTAACTTTGAGGAAAGGGACGATGAGTCGAAACAATATCGACAAAGATGTATTTAGTACTATATCTAGTGAGACTATTATAAACACACTGCAAAGTACGAAAACGTGCGGAGGAAAATTGTAGTTTTGTACTTGTGTTTTTTTATGGCTTTACTGTGTTTGTTTTTTGTTGGGATTGACACATTTACTTTCCTGAATCAGACAAATTATGAAGTATGCTAGGGAAATTGTTGAAGTCTCCTAGTCAACCCCCTATTCCCAAACAAGTTAACTAATAGCTAGGTCTCTTGTACAGGAAGATAAATTGAACATCGACGGTAGTGTCAAAATGCAAACTGGAGATGTTGCTTTTGGAGGTAATAATTTCAGAAATGATCAAGGTAGTGGATGTTAGGATACTCAAGTAAGGTAAAGTCTACTTCAAGTCTCGTTACAGAACTATGGAGCATCAAAAAGGGGTTAAACTTAGCAAAAGAAATGAGATACAAAAAGAGGTAGGCATAAACACCGAAAAAACAGAACGAACTGAATGAATTTGGTTCTTCAGTTTGATTTCGGTTCTATTTCCTCTATACTTCAGTATTCAGTTTAGTGTTTGGTAATAGGGTCCCGGTACCGAAGAACCAAACTTTTATCATGCTCACTAGTTATACTCTTTCTTTTATTAACTTTTCCAGCAAAATTCCTTAAACTACTGTTTCTTTTGCCTCTTCATTACAAAACTGTGATCATAAAAGCTTTTATATACTAACATAATGAATTGTTAAAGCTACAAGTTCTCAGCTACTTTAACCAACCGTCCTATCTTGTGCATTCTGATAACTTTGTTTATGCTAAAAAACACAAGCTTAAATTCAATGTGTAGTCGTTCATGTCTTATGGAATTGAATTCTGTTAGTCTTAACCAACTGCTATTATATTGTATTTGTACTTTAGTTTGTCCCATCGAAATAAACAAAGAACCGAATTAAAAAAAACCAAACTTGAAAAAGTTGAACCGAACCAAACTAATTTGGTCGGTATTCGGTACACACTATTGAAAAACCAAAGAACCAAAGGCTCACACCTAGATACAAAGACTTAGAAGTGGAAATAAGCTGCCTACTTGCCATCAAGTTTATCAATAAGGAGGACATACAATGTCACCCCCCAGAGGGCTATTGTTGAAGATTGCAGATGTTTGTTGGAAGCTACAAAGGCAACCATTAAACATATTTGGAGGGAGGTCAATCAATGTGCCGGTTTCCTGGCAAACGAAGGGAACAAACAGGAAGAAGATTTACTAATCTAGGAAGAGGCAATCAAGGATATAGAAGTTCTCCTACTGGCAGATTTAAGTTATGTAGCTTATGGATTAGTTTAAACTAGGTGATTCTTCCCATCTGTCCTAGCCTTGGTGGACAGAGTTACCTAGTACCTGTTGCAAGTGGGAGGTGGCAGGTATCCCGTGGAATTAGTCAAGGTGCGCGAAAGCTGGCCCGGACACCATGGTCATCCAAAAAAAAAACGAGTTTAAACTTTTCTGGTCCTTCCCAATGTACCAAAAAATTGTTTTTTCTGCTGTTTATTTCTTTAAACGTCGACACTGCTTACAAGAAATTCCTTGCACACCACTTGCCTAGAGGTCTCGAGAATCAGCGGATCTTGTTGCATATGAAAAGGAACTGTAGAAGACTGCTCTATAAGTCAGTGTTTACCACAAGGATGGAACACATGTATTTTCAAAAACAGGAACCAGGCCATAGAATGCCTAGTCCGTGAACATTATACTGAGATTAAGTTTAGAGCTTCAGGTTTTAGAGCTGCAAATACTTCCTTGTCATTAAGAACTTAGTTTGAGCCTTGGTTTTCCTGAAATAGTTTTTAGGGGAACCAGAGTGAGGGATACCTGTAAATGTTGTAGAGCTCGCCGCTCAATATCAATGAAATAATTTGTTACTTAGAGAAAAATATAGGAATATCAAGAACTCTATTGCTCAAAGCAGGTAGCGTTTCCTCTTTAGTATACTATTACAAACACAAATGTTTTTCTTTTAAGGGTTATGGTAAGCACCATCCTCAAACCCCTCCTACCTAGGAACACGACAGTGGTTTCTCCACTTTGCTCTTTTGTTACTCAAACCTCCAACCTTACAGTTGAGGTGGACGTCCTTCACCACTAGACTCTCCCCCTCCCTTGTCTTCAAACAAAAATTGGAGATCCCAAGGATAACTGTGCTAAGGAATTGTTGAGCAAACTAGGTGTCGGAATTTAGTCTGATTGAACTTGATTCTGATTTGACTCAATTCCAGGAGGTAGATTTAAGTGAACCAATGCCTTGTATGCCAAATGACATACTAAGGCAACATTACTTTTGACAGTACTCCAAGTACACCTTGTAATAGAAAATACATGCAGTCAGATGCAATTATAGCTCATGGGAATGGTCGAACATAGATTTATAATACAACAGCTTGTGAACTGATAAGGAGGAAAAACACGGTTTCAAGAAATAACTTTAGGAACAACATGTCAACTGTGACTTTTGAGTCACCCTCCACAACACTAACATCATCTATGAGAAGACACTGAGCACCATTGTTCCAATCATTTCAGAGACTTGGTATCTGTTTAGATCTTCTAACTCTGCTTCTAGTTTGGTCATGTGTACCTATCTTTTGTCTATTAATACCTAATTAACTACAAGAGCAGTCAACTGTTTCTTATACATATTGTGATAAAAAAGGAAAGAGTAAACTTGTTACCAGAACCCAAATGTGGCAGTTGATAATGTCATCACACTGTAAACAAATGGCCCAGCAATTGTATCTGCTAGTCGCTGAATTGGTGCTTCACGGCCTTGGGCATCCTCAACCTGGAAGATTAGAAAGTTTACATAGAAGCTCATAAATTCCTAAGTTTTACGCATCAACATTAACAGGCAGTGGCCCCACACATATCTGCTAGTTCTAGTTTAGGATCACTAGCCACTTTTGTGTCAAAAGATGGGTACACACTTGTCTTATATTAGAAAGAGTAATTCAAGGTGAAATTTTTAGAGGAGGAAATAATATTCTCTATCCAGGACATAAAGGCTATAGGTAAACAATATATGCATGTCAAACATCCAAGGGAGTCGCATAAATAACTCCACAAACAGTAATCGAAGTCTCAAAATCCCTATACAGCACAGAAAATTATACTACACATTTATTTGAAAACTGCAATTCAAAGATGGCGCCACTACAAGCTTATAGAACATGTTGAGCTTTTCAAGAAAATAGGTGTAGTTGGGATTTGAGAAAACAAAGAGTGTCTCAGCTTTTGGTTGCCAGCTAGGAGTAAAGTAATCATAGCACCTTCATCTTGGCAACTGGGAAGTGCTATATTCCACATGTGCCAGAACCTCCTCAATAAGTGTAAATTGAAACAGATAGACAGCAAAAATATGCTGATCCAAATCGACAGACCAACCCAAAACATTTACAAGTACAATAAAAAAAATATAATGCTCATTTTACTTTCTTTTCATAATCGTGATGTGTGAGCTAGTTTGCACCGACTAATTTCATGGGATACCTACTACCTTTCACCAGCACCGATATCGACTAACTCTGCTGGAACAGATGGAAAGAAATCTCCTAGTGTTCAGATCTCACTTTGTTGACCACTAGGTCACATCCTAGGTGAGTTGAAATCACCAAGATTCACTTTACTTTGATCCAAACTAGTCGAGCACTACTAAATTGCTCAAAGAAAAAGTTAAAACTAATGGACTATATTCCCATGGTTGAAAGTTTTCCTATTTGGCAACTTTAGAGGATGTTAAAAGCAGTGTTTTAAAGGGCAGGAGCATGGGGCGAGGTGTAAGCCTTGAATATCTAATGTATCTTCAATTTTATAATTTTATCACTAAAAATATAAGCAAAAGTAAAATTTTCAATAATCCTGCAAATAAATCACCAATAATATAAAAAAATATATATTATTTGAGAAAAGTATTAAACGGAGATAATCTTTAAATGAATTTTTCATCTATTTCATCGTCGATCTCCACATCTACTAGTCCTTCCCACCCTCATCTAATATTTGCACTTATTATTGTTTATATATTTTAAATAAGGATTAGTATAAAAGGTATAAGAGCACAAAAAGAGGATAACTTGCCTCAAGAATATAGTGTTATGGAATCTCTATTTCATCAATTTTAGGCATAATCATCTAAATTGTTATTTATGACAATATCATTTTCTATGAGAGTTGCTTTCTTTCTTTTTTATATATTTTAGAGAAAATCATTATTACATGATAGCATCAAGAATAAATATCATTACACCAATAATAAAAACATGATTTATAGAAAAATACTTTTAAGACAATAGAAAATAAATTCAACGGCTAGGGGGTATCCTTTTATACTTGGGCCTTACGCCCCAAATTCTAGGACGTAGGTCCTACAAATCTACGCCTTTCATTTGAGCCCGGAAGCATTTTAGGTACATCTGTAATGATTTGTCTAGCCGTTATGGATGGTTAGAGCCATAGTACCCTTGTTAGAGTTACCATAATGCTTTGAGCTAATAAGAACTCAAAATAGAGAGGTTTTGACACTGATATCTCTTTATATTTTGATGATTTGTGTTGTGTTGTGTTCAGTTAGGAGGTGACCTAGTGATCTACACCTTCGTAGGAAGCTCTCTGATTGTGTAGATAATTCGAAAACAAATAGTTGTGATGCTTTTTTTTTAAACAGGGTAAAACCCCCGCTCCTATGCAATAGCTCGCAAATCAGGAGAGGTAACTCGCACTAGGCAAGCTCGGTGCAACGAGCTCAACCTAGAAGGCCAACCCCTTGCTTTCCCTGGCAAGGGGTTTCAAACTTGAGACCTCCAACATGGAGGTCCCAAGCCCAAACCACTGGGCCACCCCGAAGGGTGTTGTGATGCTTTATGCATTTGTTTTTATGTCGTGATGTCATGTGATGGGAAAATGTGTTGTGAAATGGGGGTATACTCTGTTTTTCCTTGAGCTACTGTTTAAGGGGGTCTTTGCTGCAGCGAGACTGCAATAGCGAGCAGGGACTCGCTGTAGCGCGGGTAGATGAGCCGGATGACGCAAAGCAGAATGTACATTTTAAATCAGTTTTCCCAAGTCATTCCCCATTACTTGAAATATTCAAAACAGAGAATCCAAAGGCAACTGTGATCCAGAGACTTCTACGGGACAACACATCTAGCGTAGATACATTTTAGATCTGAGGGTGAGCAAATCTTCTGATGACACTAGACATTAATACATTTTATTTAGTGTTTGCTACTCTTAGACATTTGATATTTAGAGTCCTAGTACAATGACTTTTGAATTTTGAGGATGTAATAGTTTAGACTTTTCCACATCTTTTTATTTTAGTTGAACCCATTGGTGGTCACCTAAAGTTGGCATCAACTTTCACTTAGACACTTTAACTAAGGTTTGTTCATTTTAACACCTTATGTTGGGCCTCGATGTGTCATTTTGACTTTTTACTTTGGGGTTGTTTCGTGCAAAGGGGTATGGGGTATTCTGGAGAAGACTATCAAAAGGGAAGGGGGGTGCTTCTGCAATTTTTTTTAATTGATTAAATTTCTTTTTTGTAAATTATTTGGACCAAAATGCCATGTGTCATCGATTCATTGGCCACTTTTTGTTTACTCAAAATTCATTATTTAATAATTATTTTGGGCACAAATGACAAATGTTGTCACTTAATTGGTCACTTTACATGTCATTTGCAAGTGTAACACACACATTACATATTTTGGCTGATTGTAAATAAAAGTGTCAAAATGACACATCGGGATCCAACATGAGTAGTTTAAAATGAACAAACCTTAGTTAAGGTGTTTTAAGTGAAAGTTGGTGTCAACTTAAGGTGACCAGTGATGGGTTCAGCCCTTTATTTATTTCATTTTGAGACTCTTCTTTATTGTGATATGTTTCTAAATATGTTTACTGATTTGGTTATAGTATGTTTTAGTTGTTAAGATTTGGTTCGCCCAACGGGGGTTAGAGTGGGTGTCAATCATTGTGGCTTGGGTCATGACAACGTCCCACCCCAAGAGTCACCCCGAAAACACCTCTGGAAACACTGGTTAGAAGTAAGGTAATAATTTATTTGAATGCTAGAGTTAGGAGTTAGTATCAAGACGATCCCTCATCAATTAGATATAAAATATTAATTGTATCACACTAACCATAGGTGTCTTCTATTCCATCTCATCAAGTTGTACGTATATTTCTTCTCTTTTCATTATTTTCTCACATGGTTCAAGACCTCCACGATCTTGCTGGAAACTTGGTAACTTCTGCCTATTGACAGACTCTGCCTTATATTGTTTATCTAGCCAAGTTTTCTATCTTTGCCGAATTACTATCATTCTTCTTTATGGTTACTGTTGTAGAGGTACCAATTTTATTTTCGGTAACAGTACCTGTAGCATAGTTGTAACATCCGACAATTTAAAATGAATATGAAGAAGCTTGAAATTGGAAGTAGTCATTTTTGGAAAAAAATTCAGAATCTGGAAATTCGGCCAAGTGTGGAAATCAGTGAGTTTTTGGCCAACTTTGAGCAGTCATAACTCCTAGCTCAGGATGATCCAGGAGTAGTTCCAGTTATGTTTGGAAAGCCCTTGGAACGATCTTTCCAACGCCACCGAGTTTGCTCGATTCCGAGTTCGTATGAGCGAGTTATGCCCTTTGAAAGTTGGGCAGTTGGCAGGGAGTCCGTCCGGAAATTTAAGGGCATTTTGGTCTTTTCACAAATCATTTCTTTTGAGGTTATAGTGTTGTGTTAGGCTGATTGTAGATCATTTTTGTTTCATTTTTAAAAGAGTAAGAGTTAGGGTTCTTGAGTGAAGAAGAGAAGAAGAGAGAAAGAAGAGAAGAAGAAGAAGAAGTGGGAGCTAGGGTTGTGGATGCAAGACGTTTTCTTCATCAAATTTCTTGGGGAATCTTAGTAAAGGTATGGGAGTTCTTTATCTAGGGCAAGCTATCACCCTAGAGCCAATTTCAAATGGTTTTCAACTTTTCCAAAGTTTGTGAAAAAGCCTAATTTCTACTCAAACTCATGGGTTCTTGCATGAAATGATTTCAAATGATAAGTTATGATATTATTGATGTTTATTTGATATTTTAAGATGAAAAACTCCATGAATCCTTGTATTCTACAAAACCCCAAAATGTGTTTATGAAGTGGGTCTATTTCTATAAATTCAAAGTTGATGGAATTATGTGTAAAGTGAATTGTATTGATATCTCTTGTGTTGTTTAATGTTTATTCATGATTAATTGTTGATAATGGGTGAATTAAGGGTGGTAAGCCTTATGAGTGAAGTATTGGTGATTGCTTGGATTTTTGGTGATTTTGGCTATGGCTTTGAATTATGGTAAGAAAGCTTGAACTCTCTTTATTGAATTAATTGTTGTTGGTAGGTTGAATCCACCTTTGGTGGAAGTGTTATATCTTGTTCTTGTGTGGTATTATTGTGAATTGTAGCCATGAAGGCATTGGGGAAGTTGTTGCATAATGTTGGAATATTGTATTATTGTGAATTGAGGCCATGAAGGGCATTATATGAGTGTTATTGTTTTGTTATATTATTATATATGAATGAGGCTATATGTAAAGTCCTATATGAAGCTATATGTGAAGGTATGATGTGAATGAGTTTTATGTGATCTTGTGATGATCCTATGTAAAGTGGATAGCATTGTGAGTTAAAGTATGATTTCTCATGATGTATATATGAAATGATGTTGGATTATGAAGTATCCTTAAATGAAAATGTTGTGACTTGGTTGGTAGACTAAAGTGTCCCTCCTTGTTACTTAAAGTCTTGAATGCATGAAAGTGTGAAGTGGGCTAGAACTAAGAAATGGTGCCCTTTCTATAAATGCTAAAAGAGGAATTCTAGGTCAAGACTTGAATTGGCAAAACTAAGAAATGGTGCCCTTTCATAAGTCTAGCTTTCCTAAGTAAATGTAAAACCATGAAATCGGTAGACCTAATGGTGGTAGCCCTTCTCATGTGTGAAATGATGAACCTTGGACCGGTAGGCTTAAGGCACCCTTAATGAAAAATCGGTAGGCCTAAGGCACCCTTCCAGGGGGATTTAATGAGCTATCCTTAATGAACCTTGATCGGTAGATCCTTGTGGTGCCCTTCTTGGTAGATGTGCTATGGGTCGGTAGACCTAATGATGGTGCCCTCTCTAGTACATACATGTGAATGAAATTACTTTATGGGAACTAAGGCTAAGCACCGAGTGGATATAGTTAAGATGGTAGCTCTCCCGAGTATGAGGCAAGAGTACAATGAACATCTTTGGATATCCCCTAAACCATGTGCCTACATGGGATGTGTCCTAGTTCTACCCTTGGCAAGTAGAACACCTTCCACGGTGTAGGGTTTTATGACACCGGATTCCATGTCTAGCTCGCATGGTCTATGTCGGTTAATGCCTATTCCCATCATGTGGGATGTGCACTCTAGTTATTGGATAGGTTCTACAACGTGTAGGTAGTAGTATGGGATGCTATCTACACATGGCACGAGTAGGCTTTGAAGATACTAAAGTGAGTTCCCTAAGTCTAACGACTATTATGTGAAAGTCCCCTTATGTGCTTGAATGTCTCCAAAAATGGTTTCTTAAAGAATGTTGGTCTATTGATGTTATGCTTTAAAGGAAATGTCCTTATCTAAGGTAATCTTGAGGAACACTTAAGTGTGCTTGAAGAGGTTGTATGGGCGGTCACTTCTTGTCTTACTCAAGTGTGTCTTAAGGTTATATTAGGTAGAGGTCCTATGGTAATGAAATGGCATGTGTTCCTTTAAAGTTAAGCATGGGTTGTATATGAATATATGTTGAGTATGTATACGGTTGGCTATGGTTTTATATGTGAACATTGACTTAGTATGTTATATTGTAATGGTAAATTTCCTTATCTTTGGTAACCCTTAGGAACACTTAGGTGTATATGAAGAGATTGTATGGGCGGTCACTTCATGTTTCACTTAAGTGTGGCTTTGGGTAACTTGAGATAGAGGTCAAGAAATGATGAAAAGGCTTACTTGTCAATTATGTTCATGTGTTGTACATTGGTACTAGTTGTGCATGATGGCTTGTGATATGAAGCATGATAAGTGGTAAGTTCACATTTGGTGGCCTTAGGATGATGTTTTAGTGTGGATGGTGGTATGGGACGCTATCCATACATTGCACAAAGTGTTGTCCAAGGGTTACTTGAGGTGGATGGTTTAAGGTGAATGAATGGGTTATGTGTGGAGTATGTGCTAAAGTGGTTAATGACTTGTATGTTGGTTATGGTTGGATATTGTGACTCTTATACTTGTATTTTTTCATGAAGTTTTACCAAATGGCATAAAAGCATGTTTCTCCAATAAACGTCCCTTTTAGCATGTTTTTGCATGGCTTCCATACTTAGTACTTAATTGTGCTAACCCCTTTCTTTCCCTTTTTGGACTAAAGTGTAGGGATTTGGAGATGATGACATGTCATGGCTATTTGATAGGTTTCTAAGTGTTGAAGATGAAGACTTGGTGAGTCCTCATATATTCGAGGACAATACCCCATATGTTCTTTTATGTCTTTTTAGTATTGTTTAAGTTGTGTATGGGATTAGTTCCGAATTTTGTACTCTAAAGTATTAGATGGTTTTGAGACATCATGTATAAAGTCTAGAAAGTCTTCCGCTTGCTATATATATATTTTTTTATGAAATGTTTTCTTGGTAAAGAAAGTTTTAAATTCCTTATGGTTTTTTTTGTGTCTATGCGATGAATGAATGCTAAGAGGCTTGTATTAGACCTCTTCGAGGTCGAGTACGCCGGTTACAACTAGGGGGTGCTCCCGGGTCGTGACAATAGTGCTAGTTTGAGTTTGTTCATTATGGTAGCACTGTGCGTCTTTCTGATGACTGTACAGAGATACGACGCCACTTCATGCTGATTATTATTCTATTGACGTTGCAACTTCTTTTAATGACCATTCTAGTGGCTCCGTGCCATTCACAGTGAATGTTCCAGAGGCACTGCACCTCTTCTTTTTAAGGTTCTTAGCACTGAACTCAAGAGTAGCAGAGCACCTTTTTTGCTAACCATTTTGACAAGAAAACCTTTCTCCAACAGTCCGAACATTATATTGGAAAGAACCCTGAACTTCTCCTATGAGATTCTAGCAACCAAAACTTTTCTCCAAGGATTTCAATTTCAAACAAAAAAAATTGAGATTCAAGTTGTCAAAGGGTAACATGTACGTGAGAAAAAAAGGAAGTTCAGACACTACAAGATTGGACTACTACACTCAATGAAAAACCACCAGAATTAGCTTATACGATATTTCTAATGAATTTCAGATGTTGTGATCAATTTTGCAATCTCAAGCTTTTTGTCATTACATCAACAAAATATTAGCTTTAATCTTTTTTTTATACAGCACGGTTCGGAGAGCACTTTTAGTCTGCGTTGGTGAATGGAAGCCTCCCCCTATCAAGCAAGAAGGAATCGGCTCTTCCCATGTCCAAACCAGCTTGTGTACACCTCAACAAATTCCACAGCATACCTGATATCTCCCACCACCAGGTACCACGTAACTCTTTACTCAAGGCTTGAATAGATGTGAAGAAATCACCTAGAGATTAGTATTTTGCCTCCAAAGGATAGTAACTTTAACTCCCTAATAAAGAAGCATCCCTACGATATCTGTTTTCCCTCCTCAAGGTTCTAAATTTCTAAATGCTAGAAAATGTTCCAAGCAACAAATATTACTTGGAAGGAGAACATTTCTAAGAAAAGGTTTACTGACCATATTAACAATCTTGGAAATTGTTGAATTGGAACCAGTGGAAGAGGCCTCAATCCATAAAGGACTATCCTGAAACATAACAACAAGGACTTCAAAATAAAATAATATAATCAGAAATGCAAATCCAGTCTTTAAGGAAAATCCAGTTCTACCATCATAAGGTGTTCATCAACTAACATTTGGATCATCATAAGAGGCACAAATCTAAGAACTCTGAAAACAATTGGCGCAAATCTAATGCACCATCATTCATATAACCTTAACAAGGATCAGTTAACATTTTTAAATCTAATGTCTCTTCAAATGTATTTAATTAAGTCATTCTAAAAAGTCATGAAACCTTATTTTGTTACAGATGACACAGTGGAGCAGTAAACTAGTTTACGTCAGAAAGCTGCAAATAGCATATCTATACACGTAATATCTTGGCACCATGTCCGAACAGAGCAGATGGGACGTAGAGGATTCATATATCTGAAACCAACTAGTTTGGGTATCATATTTGATTGATTGATTAAATCTTCAAACCACCATACCCAGTTAATTGTACCAGCTGAGACAGAAACACCCTTCTCTTTAAACACCGGAAGAGACTCTCCAGTAAGCATAGACTCATCCACAACACTTCGACCTGCAACGACTCTTCCCTGCAGAGGCAATTTGATTTATCATTTGAGAATGTAAGATGTTGGATGTCTAGTCAACAAACAGAAGAAAACAAGTATTTTAAACAGAACTCAACATCCTTGAACAGGCATTTGTATTCCTTACGAAAGGTGCCATAAATGCTTTTAAGCTAACAATTGGTCAGTTGCTTTTAAACAGGACAAATTTCTCATTTGTCAAAAATTACCTATTCAATCCTAGGGAAAACTTCTTTAAAAAAAATCATTCCTATGTAACACATATACCATTTGTTTTTTAAGACGAGGACCAAAAAGTGCCAAAGTGAAAAAATGTGCTAGAAATCACTGTTAAGATGTACTGAGGTAATAACTTTTTCCTTGTGTAGTGACTCCATATTATGTTTGTAGTAGTTGATGGCTTTATTTTACAGTATTATCCTAAATGCTTGGATAAATGAAATCCAAGGAAATTCGATATGTATTCTATTCTGCTTTAATGAAGATATTCATACATTCATCCTTGGGATAAAGTCCTGAAAGAAAAGTACTCATGCAAAATTTGACTTACATCTACGGGTATAGTTTCTCCAGGAAAAACGAGCAAAGAATCACCAACTCGAATATCATCGGTTGGAACTTCAATACAAATTGCATCAGAACCGACAACGTCAGTCGAGGAATCACTGCCGGATGAAGTAATTACAAGTCTAGACTGAGTGGATATAAGTGACTGCCAAAAGAACCACACCAATATTTCATAAGAAAAAGGAGTAACAAAGTATAGAAGTTTTTCTAATGATGAATACAAAGGGAAAAAGTAAGGTACAATACAAGCTTCAATTTATTTTAGTTCTTCAGCAGTTCATTAGTGGACTCAGGAATCTAGTCTGATTAGTGAAATGTATTTTATTTCTTACGCAGATCAAAAATAAAGAGTAGCCTTGTGTAGCTTTATTTATTGTGTTTAATACAGTAAGAAAACTGTAGCCCGAAAATAACCTGAGATTATTCTTTTGTTAAGTGCAACTATAAGTCTTAAATGTTTGGGTTACTAAACAAATGTTTTTCCTCCATAGGTGTGAATAAATATATACTGGCCACCAGAAATAAGAGATCAGAGCTTTTATGCAACTTCTAAAACTAGATCATCCGTAACCCACTTCATACACACCTTTTACAAGCTCTAAAATATAACTGCTTTTTTAAGTATAAAAGGTCAAACTCCAGAAGTATAACTGATAATAACCAATAGTAGCTTTCTGGAAAAGGGAACTACTTAATGCATCAATCGAACAAGAGAAAATTTGATAGTAGGTGTAGTTCATTTCCATTTAAAATATGCTAACTAGTGTGTGCAAGAACTCAAAATCTGTGGACTTACAAGAGCAGCCCTCTGCACAAGATTAAAATGAACTGCATTATCACTTTTTGCTATTGGTGTAGTTCAGAGTATATAGATGACCCTGTGGCTATTGTAGACATTCTAGGGTCCTTATAAAGGTGAAAGGAGGATCTAGGGATAGTTCTCTTTTTTCTTCTTTCTTTTCTTTATCTTTTGTTTATGCCCGACACACGTGTGGAGGGAGGATATGATGTAAATTTTTGGATACCAGCTTTGAGCTGATGATTGATATACAAATGTTACCTTTATCAAAAAAAAAATCTGAGGACTTACTGGAAAAACAAAACATTTATAATAGTTGGATTTCATGATATCAAAGACAACATATTGGTCAATAACAAGTTTAAATAGGTGGTTTAGCATGGAAGTCTCATGAATGGTTATAACATACTCATTGATGCTACTGTATCAGAGAGCTCAAATATCTAAAAGACTAAAACAACCAGTATTCCAGTGGTTAATAGAGTTTCCAACCTTTGGAGATGGTCAAATATTGAACAGTCTCATAGCCCATATTGTTGATCCATTTTCTTAAATCACATGCAATAAAAACAACTTACTAATAGCTCATTCATGTCACTAGATGCCTTCAGCCTTGCCTTTCCTCCAAGGAACGCCCTAGTAATACAAACCCAAGAAGCATGACCTGCGTGATAAAATCAATATTTTTGAATGAACAAATAGCAGTTTAGAGATAGTGTAATACTGAATAGATTTTGGTCGAGACAGACCATCATAGAAGTACAAATAGAAGGTATTGCAGAGCATAAATGATATCTTAATGAATTGGAAAAATAGTACAAATGAGAACTACATAGTGAAAGTTAATGATTGATAGATGGAGAATGGTTAGAGATTTATGGAATTTCACAAAATTCAGCCATTGCAAAAGGAGAATGGACTCAATGGTTAGTGATACATTTCAAAATAACTTCAGGCAGGTCAAGAAAAACATGACCAATGATTTAGAGTAGAGGACCTGGACCATGTGAAACCCTGATGACATTATTTGAATTTTGCAAGGACTTCAGATGAAAATATTTTGAAGCTTGAGATTTTTAAATGTTAAAATAGGGCTGAGCCCAATAAGGCGCAAGTATCTGTGGCACCACCTCGACAACCTATTACATTGAACTTTGTGAATCGAAAGACCCTCTCAGCATTTAAAATTCATAAGCAAATATAAAAAGAGAACTTACTTCTTAAAGACTACAATATGCTGACCGTCCTAAACAGCAGAAAACAGGAGTACTTATGAGCAAGCAAATAAAAACAAAAGGGACAGAATAAATGGAAAGAAAATCTAAGCACTTCGAGAGAAGTAGAGAGGAAAGTAAGAAAAGACAAACCGGCTCATCAAAAAATGATGCTTCCCATTAAAGCTCAGGGTTAAGCAGTGAGACCTAAGAAAGAGAAGAAGTTGTCAGCATATCAGTCTTAACTCAAGAGAGTAATAGGTTTTCAATATATTATGAAAACAGACACTGAAATCATAACAAGAGCTACTAGCAAGCTAAAGGGCACAACTTTAATTGATTCTTACAGAACTAATTGCAAAAAAAGCAATCGATCCAAAGCCAACAAGAGAGTTTGTATTTGGTGATCCCTTTGTGAATGCCCAAAGATCATCAAAGAGCAGGTCTGTAACATAATTTATTTCGGTTAGTAATGAACTAAGATGATAAGCTACATAGTTCCTATCTACATAACTGCCAAAAAAATGACGCTAGTATTGGGGGAAACAAACAGCATGGTTCACTAAGCTCCCACTAATGCATGAAGTCCATGGAAAGGGCCCAGCCACATTTTCATTTGAATTCTTGACATGACACTATTAACTTGCAAACTGAAAAGGGATTCTCTATACTACTCATAATAACAACTTTAATCGACTCTCTTCCAAGACTTAACCGCAGAGATGACGGTCAAAATTGGACATCAAATTCAATCACATGATCATACCCATTTGATTTTTTAGTTAACTACCACATTTAACTAGAAAAAGTAACAAAGGAACATAAACAAATAAGAAAACAGATAAAAGCTAAATGGAGTAGAAAGTAACAGTCAATTAAGAAAGAAACAGAACAGAATAAACAAGTAGTGATTAACCTCGTCCAGGTCCTAATAAAGCCCCAACTGCCAATCCAGCTTTGACATAAGAATTATGCAGTATATCCAACATTGAACCTGTACCAATGTAGATCAACTAGTCTGAGTTATCCAGAACAGAAAATTTCATCAAACACTAGCTATTTAGCTTTTGGCACAGATATTTCCAAGCTGAATTGGATATAGTTTCAAAGAAAAGCAATGTAACCGGATGCTTCTTTCCAAGCTGAATTTGATATAATATTGATCATTATGGAACCGGGTAAGAGTATTTGCCTTTTTTCTTTTCAACATTTTTTACAAACTGTTAAATCAAGTGTTCAAATCGTTGTTGTTCTGAAGTAGCAAGCATGTATATTCACTCAAGAAATGAATTGTGCATCTTTTGCAAGTTTACCGTGAATATGAATGCCAAGAGAGTGCAAAATATGAGTAGCGTGAATTCCACAGCATAAAGCAACCAGAGTCCAAGCGAAAGCCACTGGGTTACGACTCTCAACAAGCAACGCCTCCTTTTTCTTCACTGTTTCCTTCCACTTCTTCACCTTGGCATCAATTCCTAACCCAGATGACCTCTTCGGCTCAAACCAGTTTCAGCTGCATCCGCTTTCAACTTAACCGCAGCTGTCTCGGTCAACATATTGGCCACAGCCGAGTCAACTCTGTCGTCCACTGATAAGATCGCCTTGACACGTGAGACACACGCGCCACACATCATCCCGCTCACATCTAGTAGCGCCGTCGTCTCAACATTTTTCAACTGTACCTGCTGCTCAGTTCCACTCGCCAGAACTTTGAACTCCACAGCCTTGGCAAATGCAGCATTGCGCCGCAGCAAACTACTACGACGTCATTGATGGATGACAGTTTATATATATATAGTACCTGTTTTTTAGCCTTTTCATTTCTTGTTAGTTTAGTCATTTCTCACTTGGTAATTTACCTCTAATTTTGGACCCATGGAGGAACTTCTAATGGTTTGACCAATATCTTAAAAAATATTTGCCTGATTTGACAGATTACCTCCATGACATTTTGACTAGTATAAGCTTCACAAAAGGATGCTATGCACACAGTTACCAAAACTATACAGGCGTCAGTATTATCTAGTGTTACCATCATTATACAAAAATGATTATTTCTTGGTTTTATTCTATAGTTTGGGATACAATCTTGATCAAGTTACAATGTTGATTTCACTATTTCTGGTAGAGAAATAGCTTCATCAAATGTAACTTGATCTCTTAACCTTTCCCCATATTGGCTAGTTTATATCTCCTCTCCCACTCAGTATGTGTGGACAAATACAAAATAACACTACTTGAGAGGTGAACAATCTGATCAATGGCATGTTGGATCTGTCAAGGTGCTTTTGTTTTGTTGTTAATCATGTTAATAATCAACTGGGAATCAGATTCCACCATCACATAAAATGAACTTCTGCAAATACACAGTTTCACACCCTGTAAAAGAGCTCTGCCCTCGGGCCATATTATTCAGCACAGGCCAGGACAGAGCAGCCAAGGTTGGCCCTAATGATACAACAACCTCCTCCAGAGCTTCCCAATTCCCTTTACAACAGCCATCAATGTTTAGTTTTAGCCATTCAAACTCATGCTTATTCCATCTAACCGGTCCACAACTGATTATTTGTTTTGCCTTTTCCACTGCATTACACATCAAATTTCAGGATAGAGGCAATTGGACTGTGGGAAATTGGCTATAAAAATTTTGGTCATGTTTTCACAAACCTGCTGAATAATATAACTCTGCCAGACATGTGAACATTATCATACCTAGCAACCACATCTATTTTTCCTTATCTCCCAGCATATGACAGTTGGGAGGCATTGAAATAGCACTGCATGGATACCATTATTAGCTTTAGATAGCCACTAAACATGAGTAATTGTTTCATGTTACCACCATTTCTAATTACTATACCACAACTTTGACCAAAGGACCAAATATGTTTTGCAATCTGTCTTGTACGAAAAAAAGGTGCATGATAATCTCTTCATTATGAGTAGTACAGCAGGTCGCAGGAACATTTAGATCGTAGCATCATAGCAAATATTTGTATCACTTCAAACCAGTGATGGATCCAGGTTTTGAAGTTTATGTATTCCTACAATGATTTCAAGTTAACATAAAATAATAACTGGGTTCACAATAGAAATACATGGTATGAACAAAAGATACCGGTCCCCTGAGCGCATGCCTTAGGGCTAGATCCGCTCCTGCTTCAAACCTAAGAGTGCTGGATTCAACAGAAATGATTGCTATAGTCTTTTATGCTCAGTCCTTCTCTTTCCTATTTAATGTAAGAGGTGATTGTCTCTATCAAAATATGATTTCAAGTACAAGCAGGAATAGCCTAGATTATGTTCCAACATTAGAATGGTTGATACTACTGACATTAAGACTTGAAAACTGTGCAATAGTCTATAATTTGACATATTATTGGGCATTCGATTTTTAACACTTAAAAGAGGAGACAAATCTCACTAAAGAACATATCCAGCAAATAAGATACAACTGTGTGAAGGTAATGGGGTACATATCTCAAAGTTCTAGACCATCAGGCAGAAATAGACTCCATCCTGAACATGAAAGAATGCTGGTTTGTCAATGGTCAATCAGAAAACATCATATCTCTGGGTTGTTCTGAAAGGACAAATGATCATAATAAGCGAGCACCATGAGACTGGTACAGCCAAACTCTAAATGAAACCCATTCAACTTCCGAGACGAACAAATAGGTGCCTCAAAATGAATAATGTTCTCCATTTGACGTTATGGTGCTTGATGGCCAAGGTACGATCTTGGAAGCAAAAACTTCATAGCAACAAAATATGTAATATTGACATATTGAAAACCCCAAAAGAAAAATCTCAGAGAAACTAGCAGTTTGTGATTATAGAATAGAGTAGCTTCCTCTATCTGAAGACTATACTTTCTTGCTCAATTTGGCCAAGTGTAATTTCAAGATTGATGGGACTGAAGCGACAATTTTTTGGTAAGAATACTTCGACAGAGTATATAGCAAAATGCCCTGCAAGAGATGACAGCAGGAAATGTAGACAGACATGCCTTGAAAATATGCTATCCAATGATCACATGGCCTGATACTTCAAACACGTCGAGATCAAAAGTCAATTTCATGGTATGACTATAAGAAATATTGCTAGAGTTCAAGAATAGAACTGCAGAAACCAGAGTGCCCTGAAGAACCAGGATACCGAAACCAATAATTTGGATGACTAACCCATATATTAATTAATTTATTTGGTGGAGCATTTATCCTAACAAAACATTCACCATCTCATAAGAATAACTGAATGAGATGGTGATAATCACTGACAATGACAGGAATTCATAAACTTTTGATCAAAGTAAACCTTAATAAGGAGAAACCAAGAACGTCGGCAGGTTCTCTTCCAACACAAATTGCAGAAAATGATATATCCGCTTCATCAGACGCATTCAACCAACCTTCAATTTAGATATCATAGGTAAGATCATACCAGCATCAACATCCAATATTCCACGGTCTTCGTGGGTCACATTTCAAATTCTCAAAGGCAGAAACACCCATCAGTTCAGCAGCTTAAACAATTTCATGATCTTCTGTCAGTGCATTCCCTATTTACCATTCCACTATCTTCTTGACCAGAGGAAAATTCAAATGCCATTGAGAAAATCAGAGTCGACAGCATATTCTAATCATCATCGCTCTCCTTTCTCCACTCCTCCTCATCAAATAGATCTTCAGGTGGATCATAAACTACAGTATCCGGGAACAGTTCCAGAAAGTCATCCTTCACTTTTTCTCTCAATTCGGGGTAAGGAAGTAGCCCCTTCAACATAACACGATAAGGTAAAGACATAGGAGGATCAGGAGAGCGCCTCATTTCATCATATATGTGCATTGCCTCTGAAGGTAATCTGCCATCTAGAAAAGCCCTGACAAGATCGCCAAATGTATGTTGATCAAAAAGCACCCCTTCTTTCTTCAAATCTTCCCATACCTTCTTTGTTTCATCTACCTTTTTGTTTCTTGCAAGCATGAAAAGCATATCCCTGTAAAAAAACATGTCTGGCCGATACCATATTTCTTTGCGCACAGCCTCATACAACTGCAAAATTTAAGAGTAAAAGTCAGCAATATAAACATTAAATAAATGATTAATGAGAGTGGATAACTTCCATCTCCAGATAAGCTAAAGAAAGGGACTAGCACTAGGCAAACATTCTCTATCTACTCTAGAATTACCACTTAAAGTGGACAACGGGAAGTAAATATAAGAAGTTGAACATCACATTTCTATTGATTAAGATGAATTAACCATCAAAGTATAATTGATAATGTTTCAAGCAGGAATCAGACGTGTTCAACATCGTGAAACGCAATGTTACATTTTGTCAAAGGAGTATGATAGTACAACAATACATAGACATTACAACAGTTACTTCTGAACGAAACAAGATAACATTATTCCCAATACGCAACAAACCCAGTGGCGAACTTATAGCAAAAAATTGGAGCACATGAACCCGTGATCTCTTTGTAAAACTAGATATTTTATGTACATATTTTCTAAAATTAGTATAATATTATTTGTTGGCACCCATACTACAAAAACACTAAATGATTCACTTGATTGAAAGTTGAGTTATTTACCTAAAAGGACTAGGAATCAAGTGGTGCACCATCTTTTTCTTCAATTTCCTTTCTACATTGTACAATAATCAATTTTTATAACCAAAAAGGGGTTACAACTTGGTAGCAGAAAAAGGAAAAAGAAAAATTCAAATTGTTACCCTCATGGAGAGGCAAGGGAGATCTTGTCTTTGGAACTCAGCAAGAACGGCGACGAGGTCAGATTTGAGTAGACGAGAAACATGGGACTTCATAAACCGCTCAAACCTAACGGCGTTGGACTGCAAGCGCTTAAGCTCCTTGGCGACCATTAAACCTTCTTTCCCCATTTCTTTCTTGCGCCTCCATATAGACACACTTGGGCTCGAAGATGACGCTGAACCAGTAATGATTTGCCTGATTCCGCAGCTATGGTTTAATATCGACGCTCGCCGCAGAAGATTCTGACCTTGATGCCACATCTGCAACTGGTGAACTTCAGGTGACTCACAAGTCTAAATCATGTAAAAGGGGTCAAATAAGTTGAGTAGATTTTCTTAGTGACACTTCGATCAAAAGGTGTCGAATAAGTTTTATTTTTGTTTTTACTGACACTTTAATCAAGGAGGGTCAAATTTAACTATTTTTTTAACCTAATTAGAATAAAAAGTAAAGAAAATCATTCAAAACTCTCGTCTCTCCAACATTTTTCTTCCTTGAAAAATCGACCATTAACAGCTTATTGAAATCTAGATTAGATATTCTCATTCTCCGCTTCTTTATCACCAATCGTCACTTTGTCTAAAGCTGAACGCCGTCGTCGATCCTCACTCTTCTTCAAACGGGTAAGCCATTATTTTTTTGAAAACATTTAGGATTGCGAACAACACATTATTGATAGTAGGATCTTTTCTTGGGTTAATAAACAAGAAATTGTTCTATAGATATGAAAATTGAATTATGGTCTAATGGGACCTGTTATTTCTTATTTACAAAAGAAAAATGAGAAATCCAAAAAACCTAATTTTTGGAAAATGTGTATGTGTTGTTGTTCAGTGAAAAGTAATTTTTTGTTGCTTTTGTTCTTCTTTTTGTTAGCATTTTGTTTATATATTGGTAGAAATATAGACGATTCAGTTGTCCAACAAATAACTCATTTGTTGAAAGAAGTGTCATATGTTGCAACAGAGGAGTCATATGTTGGTAGAAATTTCAATGTAATTATCATATGTCACTATGTGTTATGACAACCAGAATGGTCATCTGTAGTAACATGTTACTCATGTGTTGTAACAGATGAACGGTTCATCTATGGCAACATAAGCATATTTACAAATGTAATGGTATGGACTCGGACGATGTCACATGCGACAAAAGAAAAGAAAGGGAATTAACAGAGCGATTCAAATTGAAAGGAAGAAAGATTCTGGAAATCAATTGTAACAAAATTGAATGCCTAACTAAAAATGAACAAATTTACCAGATGAAAAAGGTAAAATCACAAACATGATCAAACTTTAACAGGCTATGGGTAAATAAAATCCAATCACATTATTCCTTAAAGAAACAGTAAACAACAAGCTATTAAGAAAGGAAAATTACACTTAAGAAGCCAATCATATTTTTCGACTAGGTGACATATATCAGGGTAGAACATAACACTCTTCTCCTGCATTTAGCTGACTCATATAGCTGACTTGCTTAAACAACAACTAACTATTATGCAAAATTAAAGTGAAGCTATCGACATAACTCTCATGTTCATATATAAAAAATCAAAGAAAAGAACAAAATTAGACTTTTTTCAATATACAATGCAAAACTTTTCTCATGAAAAAATTAAAACGGAGCTAGGCAGCCAAAGCATGAATCATTTAAGATTCAAACAGATCAAGTTAGAGAATTTCATGGTCTGAGTTTTCAACAAGAAAAATAAATAAAGCAAAGCTATGCATTCATAGCAAATACAGATCATAAACTAGTATGGATTAACTGGATAGCTTTAGGTGATAACACGAAAAAATGAAATCTAACTTGTTAAATTTTAGAATAAACAAAGAGTCAGCAAGTCACTCAAATCACAGGAATGTGACAAAGAGTTGAAAGAACAAGCTGCTATATCCATCATCAATGAAGTAATTATCATGTACAAAGAGAGAACAAGAAC